TTTAAACTAGCGATCATGTGAGCAGCTGTATGCTTTTATTTTTTTCTGTCAGGCTGTCGGAGCGCTCCTCCTCCTCTGTCACAGATAATCTGTACTGCTGGTGTGGGGTGAAAATCCTCCACCTCAGACGTTCAGAGATGAAACTGTCTGCGATACTGTGGTCACTTTCCATGTAGCATCAATTATGCTAATGCTGGCTGTCACGTTCTCTCGTCCTGGCCACACCTCCGCTCTCTGTTTCTGTTCCATGACCAGGACCAAAACTGCACTGCTCTTCCTGAATCTGAGATTCGACCATTCGACGGACCCTCCTCTCCAGGACCCCTGATGCTTTTAAACCACCTCAGTGACCTCGGCACCAGAGATTGTATGTAGAGTCCGACCCAAGGTCCTCAGGCTCTGTTTCCTCATGGGAAGACTTGTCTGTAGGATTGAGGAGGTCTTCAAGGTATTCCGCCCACCGACCCTCAACGTCCCGAGTTGAGGTCAGCAGTGCACCATCCCCACCATAAACAGTTTTGGTGGCAAACTGCTTTCCTCCCCCTTAGGTGCCGGATGGTGGACCAGATTCGCCTCAAAGCCATATGGAAGTCTTTTTCCATGGCCTCTCCAAACTCCTACTGCACCCGTTTTTGTCTCAGCAACTACCCGAGCTGCAATCTGCTTGGACTGCCGATACCTACCAGCTTCTTCCGGAGTCCAACAGGTCAAAAAGACTCGATAGGACTCCTTCAGCCTGACAGCATCCCTCACCTACCCTGTCATCATGGAAATTGAATATATATACTGTATGTGGACAATATGTAAAATCTAATGTAATATGGACAATGCAAAATCAAGCTCTGCGTCCAGATTGTGCAATCCTTTCAACCACACTCTGTCTCCACTTGTATTGCGCAATCCCCGCTGCAGGTTTTGCAGTGAGAGCAAAATATATCGCCAGTAAAATGTGTGTCATGAAACGTTACTTTTTACAAAACATAATTTGTTTAGAACAATCAGAAATGTTAGCTTGCCAAAATAAACTAGATGTCACATTCTCTCGTCCTGGCCACACCTCTTTGCTCACCACACCTCCTCCTACACACGCCCCCCTCCTCTCTCCTGTAATGTCCACTGTAGGCATTTTTTTAATATTGCCTTGGGGCAGAGTTATCCTTGTACGGGGGGGGGTAAAGATACACTTTAAAGGTAATTTTCATGAGCCTTATACATAATCTGCAAGATATAATCAACTAACTCATAAAATTTTAATAATTTCAATTTAGAAAATAATATGTTCGATGGATGACAGTAATGTTTTCTGGTGATAATTATGACGGCTCTTTTCTATTAAGATTTGTTTAAGTAAGTACCCAGTTTCAGTCTCAGCAGATAATGAACTCAGGCAAACACAAAAGTAAAAAGGTAAGTGATTTTATTTACAGTGATGATCCCAGGGTTTAGAGTTTCCAAGGAGGAGGCTTGGCATGGAAGGGAGGGTGTAGACACCAAGATGAAGTTTGGTTCCACAGATATTCTGGCTTTGGTTTGTTGTTTTGCAGGTGGAATGTGTTGGAGAGAGTGACAGGCGGAGGACTTTCGGGGGTGATTCCAAAGAGAGCTTACAGCAAGGCTTGTTTCTGAAGATCCGTCAGGAGAGGTTCTGACTTCAGAAACTCAGAGGTCTTAACGAGGAATCTGCACACAGGGGAAAAACACTTTAAGCATAGAAACTCAAGGAGAGTATATGCAGCTGTAGAAACAGTACCAAAGGTAATTGAATTTTCCAGCGTTGGATGGATCTCTGCAGCCAGCTTAAATAGAGGCACACCTCATCAGCTGAACTGCGTCCAGGTGAGTCCATCAAGTCTCTGCCCACAGTCATTTGATACTGCAAACAACCAATTAAGCACAGCAACAACCATAATCTTCACACTTTTCTGTAAAATAAAAATAGGATTTGTGATTGTTTTGCATGCTTTACCCCAGACGTCAAGACAGTAAATCATGTGAGGAAAAATATTGCTTTATACAATATAAACAGTGCTTTCTCATTAAATAACTCCCTTACTTTGTATAATACTGCAATGGATTTGGCTATTTTTGTTTTTAAATGGTTTATGTGAGATTTCCATGTCAACTTTTCATCAATAATGACACAAAAACTTCACTTCACTGACTACAAATCTCAACATCATCAATTCTAAATGGAACATCAACAGTTCTCTTTTTTGCTAAATATCATATAATTAGTTTTATCCTAATTTAGTGACAATTTATTAAGTTTAAACCAGCTTTGTATTTTTACAAAATTTGTTTGCATTATTTCAATCATCCATTGTATATCATTATTCAAACAAAAAAGTGGTGTCTGCAAATAAAACAAATTTAAACACCCCTGACACATTAACCAGATCATTTAGGGTGTATTCAGACCAGGAAAGTCCTTTGGTCCAATTGTTAGGTCCGGACCAAAAATGGACTTTTTTTTTCGTTTGGTGCGGTTTGCATTCACATTGTGCCTTTTTTTTGCAAATGAACTATAACTTGTAAACAAAGCCATCAGGCTGACGATCATTGCTCCCATTGGACAAAAAAAGGACGGGGGCGGGACTGAGCCACAGATCCAGAAGAAAACAAGAAAGTCCTGCATGCTGCGGTTCTGGTGCGCACATTTTTGCTGATTGTACAACTGCAATAGCATTTAAAATGTCAGAAGCAGCTAATTTAATGGTGGTTCCGTGATGATATTCTAATTTTGGAGCGGCGTCAGTAAATGTGTCCCGCAACCTAAAGGAGACGAGGTGCTCTGTGTGTTCTGACCCACTACATGCTGCAGCAGAGCTGCTAACAGGAGACGACTGTAGTGATATGCTTTGTTGTCGATGTAATGGACGATTGCTAAATCATAAATACCTCGTAGCTATTAGCATAATAAAGGGGGCACCACCTGATAATTCAGGAAATTAATTTATAGATTTAAGTCAGTCTCAATTACTGAGTAGTGAATTCTACCATTTTCAAGAGCGAAACCCAATAAATCRCACACAGACGGACGAAAGTTTCAAAATATACCCTATATTAAGATGATCCAGAGATAACAATACAACAGATTATTTGGGCAGACAGAGAACATTATCATCAAAGCCTTGAGGTTTAATAATAAACATTGATGTCATTCCATAATAACTCTAGCATCCTTCACCTGAATCACTTAACTAATCTACACTAACAAAATTATAAGGAACTTGAAGGTTAATAAAATAAATTGTTAATTCATCTATATAAGTGGGGACATGAATTATGCGTGAAATAAACTCGCCAAACCTTTTCCAATACTAACTTACTGATCCAGAAACTTCACCACCACTTCAGCTGAGCCACCACCATCAACAGAGAAGCTCTACTTTTCCTACCGCTTTGAAGAGTTGTCCGCTGTCCCTGGGTACCGACAGGTCCAAGCGAGGTTGAATAACCGGTACCGCTCGGTCTCAGAGTGGGGTCCCTTGCGGGTACAGTTCGGACGCAACAAGAAGCGGCTTAGGCGACTCCAAGCTGGAACCAGGGTCTGCTTCTGAACTCTCGTTGATTGAGAAAGTTCTGATCGAGCTCGCCTCCTGCATGAATCCAGTCCCTCGTTATAAAGAAGAATCAACAACTTTGAAGTTACAAAATAAAATGAAAATAAAAATGAAAATGAAAATAAAATAAAATTATCCCCTGAGGGAAACTGAAGCTAATACTTCACTTCCTCATCTCTCCTTCCTTTTTTCCTTCTTCTGACTGACTTGCTGCTAAACCTAGTCTCTATTATCCTGGCTCTGAAACTCATGATTGGCTGAGAATGGTCACATGAMTTGTCTTCTTACCYGGTCTGTCACCACTGAAATTGATTACAAACACACAGAAATAAGATTGCTTGTGAAGTGATTAACAGTACATTGTTTCACATGATTGAGTCACGTAGAACATACAATAATTCTTTTCTCCCTTTTTTTTATCAGAATGAGAAATACAGAAAAACAAYTGTTCGTGGTGTAATGATAAAACCGGTCTTTTGGGGGCACTCTAAAACCATGAATGAGGTAGTATGTAAATGGCTTCTTTGATGTTAGTGTGAGTGCTAAAACTCAGCAAGAAATCCGGATTCAAAGAGGTTTACAGGCTGCATAATCTACTTTTTGGTAGACTTACAGTCTGCAGATGGTCTGAGTTCTTTGTGATAAGCGGCCATTTTGAGTACATCAAAGGTTCTTACACAGTACTCAATCAACAGGAGGTCTGTTGTATCCTGTTGTTATCTTTACCACTTGTAGGTAGTAAGCAGGCCTGGAGGCAAATGAGTGAATCATTGTTTTCTTGTAAACATGGGCAGAGTCATGTGGTGGCCAAAGTTTGGAGTATTGACATTCCAATCCAAGTTACTGCTACACGACGAAACAGGTATGTTTTCAGTTTATTTAGCTCAGCAACGGTGGCCTGTGAAGTCCAAAAAGGCGCATGTTTAATGTAGTTGGTTCGGTTAGAGTCCGGTCTGTATTCACACCAGAAGCAAACTAAAGTGAACCGCACCAGAGTTCGTTTGGAAGCGGGCGGAGACCTGCTTTTTGAGGTGGTCTCGGTCCGGTTGTTTGATCCGCACCAGAGTTCGCATGAGTGTATTCACACCTGCACAAAAGGTCCGGACCAACGCTGGAAACAAACTCTGGTTCGTTTAAAGCGGAGCAAATTATCAGGTCTGAATACGACCTTACATACAAAATAAATAACTTTGGTCCAATTACAGAACCCTGTGGAACTCCACATGTGATACTGCTAAGTTCAGATCTTACATCATTTATTTGCACAGGTTCCTATTTTTCAAATGGCTAGGTACCCACTGTAGTGCTGGACCTTGTATACCATATTTATTTAGCTTTTCAATAAGAATACTGTGGTCACTGGTGTCAAATGTTGTCCTTAAATCCACATAAATGCTAGCACAATACTGTTTTTGATCAACAGCAGTTGTTATTTGTTCTATAAGTTCCATGAGTGCCATTGATGTAGAATTATTAGCTCTAAACCCATACTGACTGACATTATATATTTTAAGGCTCAAACTATTTTCTAAACTGGACTAACTGGACTGGAAGAAGCAGGTAAACCTTTTCCACTAGCACCTCTACAGCACAGTTTGACACAGTTTGGCTCAGTTCTATTTAGCATGGTTCAGGTGGTTAAAAATGCAAACGAAATCACACAGAGCTTCAACAAGCAGTTGTAGATTTGAAAACATTCAGTTTGACTTTGGTCTTAAATCATGAAGACGTTTTTTTAGCTGAATTCCTAACAATTAGTATAATATTGTTCCCCATGAATCTTTACAAATTGTAATATAATTTCAGTGGCATAATTTCAGTGGCATGCCTTTGTTAAGTACAAAATATTAACTATTGTATTAAGCTATTGTTTTTCAGATGCAACCAGCAAATCCACCCTTTAATCGGTGACCAACAGTGTTCTGACGTCGCATTTTCAGGCCAGCATGTTCAAACCACAATGGCGTAGGAACTAAAAAGGGGGCTGGTTCCATGAATTCTGGATAATGGAAATGGATTGGAACCATGCAGAGCTGAGCCAAACTGTGCTGTAGTGGCACTAGTGGAATCTGATTCTGATGAACTGAGTTCCTCGCCATCCATCACCGCATGTCAACAGACCAAGTTAAGTTTGAACCCTCTCCTCTCCTGCTGGGGTCCACGTACCTCCCACCCTCCCTTCCCAGCTGCTCTCCTCTGGTCATTTTCTGATTTTACAACTATTATTTGGCTGTTCATTTAATTCATTTTGAGATAAATTGGATTCAGTGGCACAACAAGTTTATCCATCCATCCATCCATCCATCCATCCATCCATTTTCTTCCGCCTATCCGGGGTC